AGAAGACATCAATGGGGCAAGAAAGGGGACATGTAATACTTTCAACAATAAAGATTTTTTTTTAAAGACAACAAAATGCTCTTAGTCTAATATGTAGCACAACTGGCTATAGTGCACAGCCTATACCAAATTCCAAGTGACTTTATGTGTGCACAGACCATAAAGTACTTTAATAAACAGAGGTTTCTATTTAAGGACTGAATAATTCAGCAGTACAAAGCCTTAGGATGATAGTGTTTCCTTAATCTAGGTAATCTCAAATGCTTTGATAGAACTGTCTTCCTTTAATATGAACATTGCCAATGTACCCAACCACCCTTCATTTCCCCCACACCATCATTTACAGAAGGAGTAGCTATAGTGATTGTGTTCTTGTTGTTTTGAATAATATTTTTATTTCCAATATAGATAAATATGAAACCTCAACACAGAAATATAAGTGAAGAGCATTCCAAGTGGATAGAGTCACTATAGTCCAGACATTGAAGCAAGGGTGCTGGGAGAATGCACAAAGTAGTCTGATTTGTGCATACAAACATATGGCATGTAGATGAACTTCCCTTTGTAAGTGGTCCCCATCACTCACAAAACCAACAATCATCCAAACTAATGATGGTTTTTGAGCAGAAACTTTTTTATCTTTGCAATTTTGCTTTATGGAGATATTTCATGAAAGAGATGTGGTTGACCAGGGTGGCCAAGTGGGGAAAGAGAGACAGAAAAATCCATAAGAATACTATTTCAGGAGGGCCTTTGTATATATTACATATATAACAAATAGAGAATTGAAGTAGTTTATTTTAGTACTTGTTATTTTCTGGGCATCTATAAAGGATATGGAGCCTGTTTGATTTATTGCTTCAGTGAATCGAGGAATATTCTGTGGGTTGAAAAAAGTTACTGCTATTATTTTTGATGGTAACTCTCAAAACAAACAAACAAACAAAAAACACCTGATGAGGAATTTAGGAATTAGAAATATCTTGTCCACTAATACATGGCAATAAAAATACTTTTGTATTTTTGACAAAGTGCTAAATTTGACCTCAATAGAACTAAGGGACATATTTAAAAGGGTTGGGTGGTAGTTATACTGAGCCCTTCAAGGCAGCCACAGCCAAAATAAAGATCAGAATTACCTTTCCATTAGAACCATTCTGATAAATGCCACAACCCTAAGTGTTGTGAATGGTAAAATTGTCTTCCAGAGGAATGGATTTTACTCAATTCAGTATATCATCTCCTCCATCCAAAAGGTGTGACCGCTGTTTCTGACTTCTGTTTTGATACTTCTGAGCATTTGGAAGTGCAGTGGAGGTGAGTGGGTACTAAGGGAAACTATATCCAATACAGTATCTGGAGCTTCAGTCCATATTCTTTAGTCTACTTCATTTCTCTCAAGAGACCAACTGCTAAGATGCATCAACTTTAGTAATTTCATATAATTAGAAAGATATCTGAATTATGGATGTCTTGTGCCCTATTCTGCTTCTGCATTAGAGAGCATTGGGCCTGGTCAACACACTGAAACCTGGAAAGGAAGAGAGAGGCATATTTACTAGGTCTGAGAAAAGATACACTTAACTATGTACTTGCCCTGTGATAGGACTTTACTTACGTTAACAAAGTAATACACATAAATATCCACTGTGTCAACGAGGAAGCAAATTCAGAGAGGTTGGATAATTTACCAAAAATTACACAGTAAGTGGTGGAGTCATTTATTAAAATCCTTTTCATCTCTAAAGTTGCATTTTTCCTGTGGAATATGCTTCTCATTAGTTAAAGGACAATCCACTGTGATTTATCTGAAGTAACTGTGTATAGCCCAGAAGAAACAGAGCCAAATTGATAGGCCCAGCACCCAATAGCTCCCTTTTCTTCCAGAGCTCATCTTGGCAAAATTATTGCTGGAGGTTGGATTCTGGAATGATAAAGCAGTCACCAAGAGGGAGGTTATTTGTTTATTTTTAATGAATTGGTACAATTGCTCATATTGAGTGCTAGGTAAACAACCTGCCAGAGAGACACTGCTAGGAAGGTCAAATAAAAACAAGGTCATAGTGCCTTTAAATTTGTGTGGTGTAATTTTGTTTGGCAGCCCAGGGAGGATACTGTTTTCCTATTGATTTGTTATGATGACTGCTGTGCAATTGTTTGCCCAACTCTCTGACTTTGCATGTTCACTGTTCTCTAGGTTCAGAAATTACCACTCTGCTGCATTTAAAGTGAGGAGAATAACTCCTGGGAAAATACCACATTAATATAACTAAACATATTCTATTAGCAGAACTGGAATGTTGAGGTGGTCACTTGCAACAGAAAGATGAACAAATTGATGCAGTGAGCAGAGCAGCCATCCAGACCTTACACTGAACAAGACTGTGCTTTCCTCCCAGTTATCTCCTTTTGTTCACAGGCCCCACTCCACATTGCCTAGATGATAGACTCAGTCCTGGTTTCACAATGGCCAGGTCTCCGCTCTCAGGGCAGAGATATGTGTCAATCATTGTACCTCAACAATGGAGATGAAGTACTTTCCCCCTAAATTACTTAGGAAAATTGCTTCAATTTCCTATTTCATTTTTGGCCTTTAGCTGAGAGAGTCTAACCCAACTAAACCATTACTGAGTGACTCCTGCAGGGCTATTTTTAAAATGCCATTGGGTAGTCATTAAAGCCTTGTTTAGCTGCTGAAATATTATTGCTTTCAACTTCCTTAGTTTCTTCCCTCTGAAAAGTCCAAGCTACTTGTTAAATTTCAAAAGTATTCCATATTTACAATGGAGAGACTGATGAAAAAATTAGGTTCCACATATTTACAAACTTGAATATGCTCAGTTCAGCTGTATTTTTCACATGAGGTTTTCTTTGGAGAGGGTCCTTGATCTCCTTAAATAAGAGAATTCTAAGGACAAAAAGCTAAGCTTTCAGGCAAGATCCTATTGAACACATTGAAATTAATCCAATTGTTACATATGAAAATTTCTAAATATTTGACACAGTGATTATACTGTACATTGATGGTCTACTATGTGCCACATGCTTTATTTATGTTATTTCACTGAATTCTCAAAGGATTCTTATGGTCAGGAATTTTCCTCACTTTTTTATACGTGCCTAAGTGTAGACCACAATTTCTATTGGAGCAGAGATGGTGTCCAATTTATTCATTCTTGTATTCCCAGGAGCAAGCAGAGGCTCTGCTTGTATAGATACTTCATAAATATTTGGTGAATTACCTTGAACCTCAGTGTATGTTTATTAATTGTGAACTGAATTACTTGAGGAAACTGAAGATGGGAAAAATTAAGTGACATACCCAAAGGTCTCAGAGTCATTAAATGGTGGGTTAAAACTCAAATCAGCTTGTTCCCTAATTTAGGAACTATCTATTAAGACTAGAAATTTCCAGAACCCTTCTCATGGATCATTTCTCTAGCACCTCTGTGAGTAGCTACCATTACTGATGGGTTACCAAACCTGTGTTTGTTTTCTGGAAAACACTGCCTTCCAAATAACAAATGAGGTTCTTCCTGGTACCGAGGCAGAAACCTTTCCTGTGTCAGGCAGAAATGGCCATTTAGGGGTGGATATTCAAGGGAATATGACTGAGAGATTTATTTCTGACAGAAATGATGCTGGAAAAGGGTATTTATCTTCCGTGGTTGAGGGATAGGTGATTGTCATGTTCTCTCTTTGGCGAACAAAATAATATGACAGCCATAAGTACTATGAAAGCTAATCAGGCCCTTTCTGGGATTAGCTAAAGTCTTCTCCTGTGAAAAAAACACAGTGTCTTTAAGTCCAAGTGAAACCGGAGCTGAGCTATGAATCTGTTCAGGGATTTGACCAAAAGATAAGAACAGACAAGCAAGAGAGAAAGCCAACCAATGATGAAAGGCTATGGGGATTTTAGTGCATGGCAAAGTTTGTTATAGGACACAAATTCTTGAAACAAGCAGATTCCAGGGCAAGAGAATAATAAAGAAGGGAAGGAATATGAAAGATTTGGTAGTACCTACACATCTAAATGTTAGTTTCTAAGATAATTTATTTAATTTTTTTTAGATCAACCAAACATATTTAATACAAAAACCTTTTAATATACAAACTGTAATCAACAGCATCCATGTAGCACCGAAGGGATGGGGAACATGGCAGAGGAAGGTGGTTTTCAGGGGCCCTACTGTTTCCTGTGCCTGCAATCACTCTGTAGCCTGTGAGAGCAGAAGGTCTTAGCAGAAGGCAAAGACAGCCAGAGGCCCTGATGCCAAAACAGACAAAGCCTGGTTGGCTGCTCCAACAGTGGCAGCCTCCAGGGAAATCCAAATCCAGTTAGGAGGTAACAAGGAGGTGGTTGTGACTGAGAGGAGAATCAACCACTATTCCTCAGCATCCAGCTGATCACACTTTTGTGAACAGTTTTCCAGGGGCTGCTAGATTGAAAAGACCTAAAAATTGTTCTGGGAAAAGGACAGAAATTGTGTCTGACTCTACTTTCTAACTCAGATTCCTTGACTCCAGAAAGCAGGGTGGATCTACTCAAATGTTTGGGAAGGGAAATGGCAGAGCCTTTGGTCCAACAGGGCTGGAACCACTGACCAAGAAAGCCTCAAGGAAAACCAGGGGGGTCTGTGGGAAGAGCTCTGGGTCAATGGTACTTACATGGGAGCCTGGTGACACAATGGCTTATGTGTGGAAGATAGAAAGGACACAAGTTAGAGAGAATTAAGAACTAAAGCACCTGTTTTTTATAGGCCAGGGCAGTAAAGGTGAGAGAATCTTTCTGGGCTGAGGTTGGGAGAGACCTGAGGCCCATTATTTCCTCAGGGATCAATTTGATAGGCCTGAATATAGTTGATGGTCCCAAAGCCTTCCAGGTGGCCCCCAGAGGACTCTCTGAGAGGCCTAACTGCCCCCTCCAGATGTGTTGGGAGACTGGCCATAGTCCTAGCTAGGCCCAGGTAGGGCCTGGAGTCCCCCAGTTAAGACCTCAGTTAGATGCAGTCCATGGAGTTCTCTGGGAGGAGGCCAGGGACGCAGCCAGGGAGCCCCAAGCCCTTGACAGGGGTACAGTTGATGGGGAGGCTGCAGCTTAGGGCAGGGTCTTGGTTCTCTATGGCCTCCAGCCTGTCCGTGTTGTTGTCCTAGTTGATGTGGAAATGGGTCACTCAGGGATTCGAGGCCAAGATGTTCCGTTGGAGCTGAGAGAAGTCTGGCTTTGGGGGTGGGTTCTCCCGCAACTCTGGGTCAGGGCACTCATTGTTGACGTAGTAGCCCACATGGATGAACTCCTGCCCATGGTACGTGCAGGTGATGAGGACCATGGTCACACCAATGGCGTCGCTCTCAGGGATGAGGGATGGGTTGGGAGCATTGGCCTGAAAGACTAACATGTGTCTCCCTGCTGGGATAGGGCCGACCAGCACTGAGTCTAGGATTTGATCAAACTCCTCACTCTCAGCTGAGCCAACATAAATTATCTTCCACTCTAGGTCGTCCACCAGAGCCTCATTGCACTCGAAGCTGATCTCAAACCGGAAAGGGCTGTGGAAAGGGCTCGGATTCTCCAGCACCGCCACGTTCAGCACCGATACCTTGGCCATTGCCTCACCGGCCGGGATTGAAGCCAAGGCTGGGTCTGAGCCCACGCCTGGATCCTGTAGGATCAGCGGGAACAGCGTTGCCCACAGAGCCTCCAGCCGTCTCTGTCGTAGACTCAGTTTCTAAGATAATTTAGATCTTTCTATGATTTCCAACCTTAGGCCCTAAATTATCCAAGTCAATATATTCTGTAAATGTTTAACTCTACTAGTGAATTCCCTTTTATTTAAAACTAGAGGCCTGATGCTTGAAATTCGTGCACAGAGGGGTGTCCCTCAGCTCGGCCTGCACCCTCTCCAATCCAGGACCCCTTGGGGGATGTCCGACTGCCAGCAGTTGGGCATCCCACTCTCAATCCAAGACCACTGGCTCCTAACCTCTCACCTGCCTGCCTAATGCCCCCAACTGCCCTCCCGTGCCAGCCTGATCTCACCCCTAACTGACCTCCCCTGCTGGCCTGATCACCCCTAATTGCCTCTGCCTCAACCCCCACCACCATGGCTTTGTCCGGAAGGAAGTTGGATGTCTGGAAGATGGCAGGTCCACCAGGTCTAATTAGCATATTACCCTTTTATTAGTATAGATGTACAATTGAAAGAGAAATAGAGGTCATTGATTAGCCCTTTTTTATATTTTATTTTTATTTTTTATTTTCTTTATTGAATAAGCTATTACATATGTGTCCTTATCTCCCCCTTTGTCCCCCCACCCACCTTCTCATGCCCTCACCCCCTGGTGTCTGTGTCCATTGGTTATGCTTAAATGCATGCATACAAGTCCTTTGGTTGATCTTTTCCCCTTCCCCTCACCCTCTCCTACCTTTCCTCTGAGGTTTGACGGTCTGATCGATGCTTCTCTGTCTCTGGATCTGTTTTTGTTTATCAGTTTATGTTGTTCATTATATTCCACAAATGAGTGAGATCATGTGATATTTATCTTTCTCTGTCTGACTTTTTTCGCTTAGCATAATGCTCTCCAATTCCATTCATGCTGTTGCAAATGGTAGGAGTTCCTTCCTTTTTACAGCAGCATAGTATTCCATTGTGTAGATGTACCACAGTTTTCTAATCCACTCATGTACTGATGGGCACTTAGGCTGTTTCCAAATCTTAGCTATGGTAAATTGTGCCACTACGAACATAGGGGTGCATATGTCCTTTCTGATTGGTGTTTCTGGTTTCTTGGGATATATTCCTAGAAGTGGGATCACTGGGTCAAATGGGAGTTCCATTTTTAGTTTTTTGAGGAAACTCCATACAGTTCTCCACAGTGGCTGCACCAGTCTGCATTTCCACCAGCGGTGCATGAGGGTTCCTTTTTCTCCTCATCCTCGCCAGCATTTGTCATTTGTTGATTAAGCCTTTTTACTCGAACATTTGATCTCTGATAACTGAACTAACATCAAAAGCCTCATCCTTGTTTTTATTTTTATTGAATCTTCCCCTTACTCACTTGCTTTCTGAGCCACTTTACAAGGTCCTTTTGGTGAGGGCTGTTTCTTGGGGTTCTTTGTTTGCCTCTAAGCACTAACTTCCTGTCTGACCTTGGGCATGTCTTAGCTTCTCTGTGCCTCAATTTCCCTGTTTCTAAAATAAAAATAATACTAATACCTTCCTCACTGTTTATCTGTATGTGGAAGGTCATGATCCTCACAACACATAAAGCATACTGAGCAGGGAATGGCACAATAAATGTGCTGGATCCACACAACTGGGGCCTAACCTTGCTATATTCTACTGCTGTAACAAAGGAGAGTGAAACAAAGAGATCCTTTTTGAAAACTTTACTTGTGTATATGTGCTTAGGTAATTGAGAAGCATTCATGTCCTTATCATGTAATTGTGCACTTTTTGTCTGCTTACTCATTTTCTTCAAATTGCTTTATGAATGGCAATTCTCCCTAAAGAAATAGGGCCCTGATGTCAGGATCTCTGTGAGGAATTTGTTTTGTATTCTTTAATGTCACTCAACAATATTTATAACACTTGGCAGTTTTTCAAAGCTCTTTCAAAGACATCTCAGTCACTCTATAAGGCAATTCCGTATGGTACATGTTGTAATTCTACCTTTACAGGTGAAAGAACTGGGGCTCAAGGAGGTGATTTATTTAGCATCCCTGGATGAGAGTGAGGGGTAAGAGGCAGATCTCTGTTAAGAACCTAAACTTCCTTTCCCCCACCCCTTTTTATAGCTGCACTAGAGGCCTGGTGCATGAAATTTGTGCGGAGGGGGGGGGGGGCGGTTCCTTTAGCCCAGCCTGCACCCTCTCCATTCCAGGACCCCTCGGGGGATATCCAACTGCTTGTTTAGGCCTGGTCCTGGGGATTGGGCCTCAACCGGCAGTCAGATATCCCTCTCACAATCCAGGACCGCTGGCTCCTAACTGCTCACCTGCCTGTCTGCCTGATCGCCCCTAACTGCCCCCCTCTGCTTGCCTGGTTTCCCCTCACTGCCCCCCCTGCCATTCTAGTTGAGCCAACTGTGCGCCCTCTTGGCCTGGGCGCCCTTCACTGCCCCCCCCCCCCTGCCTGCCTGGTCACCCCTCACAGTCTGCTGCTCAGTCGTTTGGTCATCCCTCACTAACCCCCTGCCGGCCTGGTTGCACCACACAGCCTGCTTGTTTAGTCGTTTGGTTGTCCCTCACTAATCCCCCCACCAGCCTAATCGCCCCACTCAGCCTGTTCAGTTGTCTGTTTGGTTGTTTCAGGTGTGATGGCCCCTGGCTCTTTATATATATAGATAGTATTCCATTGTATAGATGTACCACAGTTTTTTAATCCATTCATCTGCTGATGGACACTTAGGCTATTTCCAAATCTGAGTTATTGTAAATTGCACTGCTAACCGATTGCAACAGCATGGATGGAAGTAGAGAGCATTATGCTAAGCCCAGTAAGCCAGTCAGAGAAAGATAAGTATCACGTGATCTCACTCATATGTGGAATCTGATGAACAACATAAACTAATGAACAAAAATAGACCCAGAGACATGGAGACATTGAACAGACTGTCAAACCTCAGAGAGAATACAGGGGAGGGGGGGAGATCATGTGTGTATGTGCATAACCCATGGACACAGACAGTAGGGTGGTGAGGGCTTGGGGGGAAGAGGGGTTGGAGACAGCAATAGGGGGAAAAACAATAAGGATTTATTTTTTAAAAAAGAGTTGTTAGGAAACAATTACCAATAATTTTGAACTTAGTGAATTGTTTGAACTGGATGAATTATTAGATGAATTAATTAATGGAAAAATTGATTTTCAGAGATGCAGCCAACTTCTGGTAGCACATGAAAAGTGTTCAATAAATATTTGTAAAAAAACCTACAACTTTTCTTTCCAGCATCTGTGTTCTCCCCACCTTACCAAGCTGCCTCCTGTACTGGTAAGTATCTACTGATCCATGGCTACTGTTCATGGTTCCAATCAATCTAGAAAGTGCAAGGGGGCTGACCTGCTCCAGATCAGTTTCCTTAGCAAGGCAGGAGTCTAGACACACAGTCTGACTGATTGGGAACGCCCTGTACCCCCATTTCCTGTGTCCTGTTTCCCTGAAGCTTTGGCTGAACCCACTGCTCACCTTCCACGGGTGCTGCACATGGTCACTTGGATGGCACAATCAAGGCCAAGGACTCAGAGCACTTTTCAGAATTATTGCAATAAGAGCAGTGCCATCTATGTGCTATGGTTGCCCTTTGAAGGCAGAGGTCATCTGTCCTCTTCCCCTCTTACAGATTGGAGCAACCTTCCATAGCAGTATGATATTGGCCTCACACCTACATTGGGCCTTTGCCTGGTTTCTGAATTCCCACCAAGGCACACTTAGAACAGCTGAGGGGAGGGTCACTGTGGTCCTGTGCTCTCAAATCACTCCACATTAATACTCTTTATAGATACTGTTATTGTTAGAAGAAAACCATTTGGAGACCTGTGTGATTATGGCAAGTGGCCAGCTGGAGGCATTGAAGAAAACATCTTTTTATATTTTCTTTTATTGAGTTTGAAGAATTTGAAGTTTAATGCAGAGTTTTGTATTGTATTTCAATACAGAAAAACTTGAAAGATAATCTCTCTTAAAGCTATGGATCTTGGTAACACTTTGATTAAATAATTGTTAGCTATCTACATTTCCCTACACTCACCATAGACCTTTCTTGAACCTTGGTAATTCCACCATTGATTTCATTGTTTTATCAATGAAGGTGGAAGGGAAAATGAAATACAATTTAATGAGTGTTTTACTCATCATCCAATATGCAAAAAGAGAAACGTAGAACACACACACACAAATAAATCTCACACTGTCAAGCTTTGTAGGCATGAGGTTTTTGTTGTTGTTTTAAATCTAAAATCACTGGTTATAGAACTAGTAAATTAGTTTTCTGATTAAAATGTAATCAACTTTCAACAATTTCTTCTTTATATTCATAAGACATTCTGGTATGCTGTATGCATAAGACATAGTGTTGCTTCTCCTGTTCTTACAATGAAAAGACATTTAATAATATAGTGTTATATCATTTTTATTGTGTTTATGATTATGTGTCCTTTACTCTAGAAACTCGGTTGCACACTCCTAGACAACAGAGATCATGTGTTCAGTGTTTTCTAGAGTCTCCATGCATAGAATGTAGCAGCATGTATCTCACATGTGGGAGGAGGCAAGAGAAAGGCAGAGAGTTTCTAAGTGCAGAAATGCTCTAAGACACAAAATTTGTAGCTCATATTCAAACACAGCTATTTGACCCTTTAAGCGGTTCTCAACCTGTGGGTCGCGAACAATGAAAATATATCCTGCATAGCAGATATTTACATTACAATTCATAACAGTAGCAAAATTACAGTTATGAAGTAGTAACGGAAATAATTTTATGGTTGGGGGTCACCACAACATGAGGAACTGTATTAAAGGGTCGCGGCATTAGGAAGGTTGAAAACCACTGCTTAACCAATTAGATAAGTACTACATAAGGTTTCTGAAATGGAAAATGGAAAGAAATACT